CTTCTTCGTAAATACCCATCAAAATTCATTTTTTATTGGATATTCTGCTTGGGTTGTTGGATTCATGCTTATAATCGTTCGCTAAGTATGTGTTTTTTTGTGTTCTTGATTCTGGAAAGGATGGGTGAGTTTTGTTTGCATGAGCTTTTTTAAAATAAATAAATAAGGGTTTACTTGATTCTTGATTGGGGTGCTGAATATGCTGTTTAAAGATTATTGATCATCACTTTCGTGTAGCAATACAATGATTGCATCTTGAAGTCACTATCTTATGCTGTATAATCCCATATGATAAATGCAAGTAAATTTTGAATATATTTGGCGAATTGATTTGTTTGTGACCAATGTTCTTCTACCATCTAGGCTGCATGAAATATTTAAATAATAGAAACTGTGCAATGCCTATAACTTCTTAGTATTTATATTAGTAATTAATTCTTTGATTGTATTAGCTGATCTGGTGAAATGTGTGTAATGTTAGTGTAGAACTTGTAGCCGTGTTGGTTAACCTGCTGGGTTGGTTCTCTTAATTATTCATAGGTACTTTATTGGCTTTCCGGCTTAACGTGCACAGATGAGAACTTTATAACCAAATCTGGTGCTCAGCGTGTTGCTTCAAGTGAGGGTGTTGTGTTGATTGCCCCGGATACTTCTCCGAGTAAGTCGGCTTAATTGATATATGTTGTCTTCTAATTGTGCAATGACTAAATAAAGGCATCGCTTTAGAAAATCAGCTTTGGCTAATTTTATGAAAGTGCTTCTACTAATTAGAAGAGATTTTAAAGGAAGTTGTGGCTTCCTCTAAAATTACTTCCGAAATAGAAAGTTCTTTTAAAAATTAGTTTACAAACAAAAATTAAGTTAGCTTCCTCCAAACGCTCTTCTACAGGAAGCAATAGCAAAAGACGTGCCTAATGGGCTCTTAGACTACTTCGATGTGCTTGAGTAAATGCCTGTGTTCAGAACTGGCATTCCTCACTATCTACCTAGGGAAATTGTATGTCAGTTTTCAAATCGGTATTTGGCAACAAAATTCGATTTTTATTGCTCAAAGCTACTAGTAAAGAGTAATTTTGGTTCCCTGAGTTCCAATATGGTGATTTAGGAATAGAAACTATTTTGCTCTCTGGAGAATAAAAGGCAATGCCATCTTACAGCATGTTTATGGTAACATCCTCTGGCAAAAGAAATATGATAAATATGTGAGAAAGTGTGAGTTCACATTCAAAAAAATGACTTGTGCTCGTGTTCACACGTTTTTAGGTTGCGAAAGTTAGTGATCTTTTATCTCACTTGATCCTAGCTTTCTTGTGGTTCTGCATATCTGGGAGAGACTTCTTATCACCAGTTTGTAATTGCAGGAGGCTTGAATGTTGAAGGAGAATCAGACAGCTGGGATTTTGGCGTCGGTATGTATCATGGAATCGATTTTTATACCAGCACTTCTTGATCTGTCTAGCCCAGTCACTTCGTTAATAGACTGGTTCAATGGAGAGGGAAAAAATTGAATTTGAACTTAAAAATCATTATGCAGAAATTGGGATTAAAATATGAAACATAGTCTTCAAATGGCTTGTTGATTTTGTTTTGAACTGGTTGTGGGCAAGGTTTGATTTGAGTATGCGTAGTCTTCAAATGGATACCTTTAGTTGGTTCTGTTTTGAACTGATTGTGGGCAAGGTTGAATTTGAGAATACATTTGCTACTGGAAGATGATTTTTCCATATCGTAACTCCTGGTCTTGATGTGTAAAAGTTACTTTTTCATATTTATTTTCAACGTGCTTAGCTTAACTAAATAGAGCTTGACGCCTAACTCAATTTGAGATAAACGTGGTAGAAAATATCTCATTTAGCAGGCTACATATCTGCCTATTAAAAAGTTACAACCCTGTTTGTCAGAATATGTGGAGCCTGAGCACATTGTACGTGTATTCCTTGGACTGCAGATTGACCTAAAATAGGAGTATATTGGGAAGTCATACTTGTATTGTATCGCCTCTAATATTCCTACTGTGTAAAGGACCAGTTAGGACTTAGGCGTAAGGAAACCTCGTAATCTCCTCCATTATAGTTAAGACCTCAGCAGCGAGTAGACGTAATAGTGAACTTATGAATATATGTGTGCTTTGCTCGTTTTCAGATTTTTTTTTTCTGTTTATTGTTGCTATTGGAAGTAGAGAAATGGTTTAATCCATGAAATTGTTAATTTATTTGAAATCCAGTTTTTTTCTGGACATTTCATCACAGTATATGGGCTTCGATATCAAATGCCTCCTACCACATGCAATAAGAAGCTTTGAATGTTGAATTATAGGTACAGCAAAAAAATCATAAGCGAACTATATCAGAAAATGCATCTATGTTTGCAAACGATAACAAACTGAACTTAGTCTAACTAATCAATTTTACTCATTTGCTGTTAATGAGTTAAACAGAGCATCACTACTTTTTGTACCAGGTGCTGGGTTTTATCTCAATGCGACACAAGAGAAGTGGAAGAATTGGCAGATGTATGACTATATTGTGAAGGAATTACCATTACTTCTTACTGAAAATTTTCCACAGCTTGATACATCACGAGCATCTATCTTTGGTCATTCGATGGGCGGGCATGGAGCACTGACAATCTACCTTAAAAATTTGGACAAGTACAAGGTAGCCAATTATAGTATTCACTTTTCTGAACTTGAAAATCTTAGGTCGTGATGAGATTTAACATTGTTTTCCTAATAAAGCTAGCAATTCTGTTGCATATAAGTTGCAAAATGTCAATCCTTAAAAACTGTAGACTTTCTATTTTGAAAGCAACTCTTACTTCTTTGTCAAAATAAGTAACTAATGATTTCCAACTTTAACCAATAATTTTTTGTTTATTTTAAAACTCCTTGGCTTATTGGTAAGTTTGCTTATACATGAACTTTTTAAGCTTAGCCAAAATGCTTTTACTTTTATCTACTATAAGTGATGTCTTGTAGTCATAAAGTTCTTTAATTTTAATTCATATATACATGCTGCTTCTTTTAAGTTTTTTTTTTTAATTGATTGGTTCTTATCATTTTTCAATGGTTATTTTTTCTTTTACAGTCGGTGTCGGCATTTGCACCTATTGTCAATCCTATAAATTGTCCCTGGGGTCAGAAAGCTTTCACAAATTACTTGGGTGAAAATAAAGCTGCCTGGCAGGTAAGATCTTTGATTGGCTATGACATGGTTGGCTAAGCTTAATGTTTACTTATAGTAAATAAGTAAGCTACTTTTTTGGTAGTGAGATGAGCTATAAAGAGTTATTCAAAATAAGTACATTTATTTACTTAAAAAGGTTACTTTTAGTTATTTTTAAGCTTCAGCCAAACATGCATGTGAAACGAAAATTCCTTGAGGGTCTATAGTTTCTTAGATGTCGAAAAATTGACAATTTTGCAGGAGTATGATGCCACTTGTCTCGTATCAAAATTCAACAATGTTTCTGCTACCATTCTAATTGATCAGGTGAGAACTGCGTAGTTGCTTACTCCTTAATTATATAATGAGGTTAAAAGCAAACCGATCAACTCTGCATTGCTTACACTTGTTGTGTATCCTAAAAGAAAAGGTATAAAGGCCATCCATGTTCCAAGAAGCAATTGGCCTAATTACATCTAATTTTTTTTTTTTTAATAATAAGCTTAGCCAAACATGTAATATATCCAATTTTGAGGGTGACATTGCGACAAGTTCTGTGCAAATTTTGCATTGGACATTTTAATTCATGCATGGAAGCATATTATGTTCTCAGTCCGTTGAAAACACGAGCTTTCTGTGATAATTGTGTTGGTTGTGTATTGTGTGGAGACATAGGTAATCCTCTATTTTTGCAGGGAGACGAGGACAAATTCTTAAAGGAACAATTGCTACCGCACAAGCTTGAGGAGGCATGTCGAAAGGTGAATGTTCCACTTCTCCTCCGCATCCAGCCTGGTTATGATCACTCCTATTATTTCATCGCAACCTTCATCGACGATCATATCCGTCATCATGCCCAAGCGCTTAACCTGTAATCCTATATGTGCTTTATTTTTCCAGAGGATTTCGAATGTATTACCTAAACACTAAATCCCTTTTGAATGTTCTTGGTATTGAACTTGAAAAAGTTGGAACATGCTATGAATGAATGATGGAAATAGGATGCTTTCGGTTTTCTGCCGTATTATCTCAAGAATTTCTAGTTGTGCTTCACGGGTTTGGTATACAGTAATCAATATGGTTTAGGCAAGATTTAATTTATTTTTCCTTTAATATTTTTCAGTATTACCTTATTCACGACAACTAGACTATTGGAGACAGCTAGGCTGTCAACTAGATCCATCTTCGAATTTTTTACCATATTAGAGAATATTTTTTATAATGACGATTCATCCGTGGAGAGAGAAGTTTCCCTACCATGTTCGTTTTTGCATCTCTAACTTACGATTTAATTTTATCATCTAATAAATCTGTTTTTACAACAAAAATGGGTATTGAAAGGGAAAATGTAATGCATCTATACTATATTTCTGGTGTAGAATCTGGAAGCAACATCCAAACAAAATAATCTGCACGTCTCCTATTATACAATCAGGGCTTGCCCTGATTCCTTGTTCTACGCGAGTCTGCACTAAAATGTAGTTCGAGTTGAGCCATTCTCTACTGTACATTGGCGTAGTACCTGTCTTCAGCTGCCGTGCACAACTCGAATTTAGCACTAGGGGCTGACAGGTTGCAGCAGATTATTACCACTGATGAGTCTCTCAGTACATCTTTGGCAGTTCATGTTCTGAGCCCACCACCAAGCTCAGGTCCAGGCAGGTTATGACTCCTGTCTTGAACTGGGGTAGAGGTAACCGTAAATGCAGGTTCAATGTTCTCATTCACGCTCTTTGTCGGCCTCTTCAACCTCTTTGGTCTTTGTTGTGGCGTGTTCTGAGAGAGATCATCCATCTCATGGTCCATTGGCACTGTGTCAGGAGACAAGGAGTCAATGTTTTTGGAGTTCTTCTGAGCCCTTGGTTTAGGTTGGGTTTGCTTGTCCGATGCCGTTTTCCTCTGCACGGAGACAAGATAGCCATATTATGTACGTGTTGTGAAATGCAGACGCAAATCTTATCATCTATTCAAAGCATGTATCAGATTCCGAAACATTCTATTCCAATCTCTATCCTACTCTCAGATAAATTGACGTTACTCAGAAGTAATCTAGTTTGGTTAAAATGTTATGGGATCCCCATGACAACAAACAAAGAGGTGACTTGATATGGAAACGAGAATGTTTGGATAAGCTTAAAAAACTAGTACAGATTATCACCTTTTTACTGTAGGACTTTGCTTTATCAGCATCATTAGGCTCGGATTCAGTAGCCTGCAATTCAGGGTTTGCAAGATCCTCCAAAGATGCATCACCTTCTGCATCAATCCGTATGCCCTTTGTTCCTCCTTTCTTCTTTTGCCTATCTTTGGCCTGGTTTTGGAGGACATGAAAGTATTTCAGTATTACCAGGCACTTTCAGATTCAAAATCATAAGGTGTCTTAGAAGGGAAAAAAAAGAAGAAGAGAGAGAGATGAATTTACAGCCCACCTGCTGTGAAACTTCTTTTAGTTTATGCTCCAGTTGAGTGTCGTCAATCAGTAAAGATACGACATCCTCTGGAGCCAAGAGGTCACCCTGAACATGACCACCTGTCATGACAAGCTGCTGCACCGTGTTTTTTTGACTAGCTCTCTGCAAGATTTTTTCCTCGACTGTCTCTTTACAAATCAAGCGATAGACAGAAACCTGCATGATTGAAAATCCACTTCTAAATATAGGAAACAAAACCAAGAAGGCCCATAAACACTCCAAATCAAGATGATGGAGGACATATAACACAAATAGATGGACAAATTTATCTTACAGGGATGACCTTCGAAACAGTGTAGTAAAAAAAAAAGGATCTTTCAAATGAAAAATTGTTCAGCACAACAAGTGATATATAGTGAAATAATTAAGAGATGAATTTGTGGATTTTAAAAATAAAATAAAATAAAACCAGTTCATAATTTTGTTTATGGTTCCGTAGCACAATGAGAAACCAGAGATGATATAGCTAACAACCACTACGTATTAATCTTCCACATAACAAGTTGCTTTAATAATTAAAGGTAAAACTGTCTCCACGAGAATGGGTTATATGCTGCTTTAGTTATGTACTACTACTAAGCTTACAAGGCAATTACAGAAACAAGGATAACAACACAACATATACAGTTAAGCTTATTTAAGAAAATATGCGAACAAAGAATTGCACATATCCCATCAATGTTTACCTATCAAAAGTTATTTCCCATTTCACAGAGAATCACATGCTAAAAAGGGACACAAATGGACTGGCAATACAGTCAGCTTAGAACTATTGACATGCTTAGAGTTTAAGAAAGGGCCAAGTAATGAGAAACAAACTGACGTCTTTAGTTTGACCCAGCCGATGAGCTCTGTCCATTGCCTGTAAATCCAAAGTTGGATTCCAATCACTTTCATAAAATATGACGGTGTCAGCAGCTGTCAAGTTAATACCCAGACCACCAGCTCTTGTACTCAGCAAGAACACAAAGATATCATTCCTACAATAAGGGAACATAATTTTGTAGAAAACTCAGAAAGGTTTCACACTTAGATGTTCGATACAGAGTATTGGATAGTAGTGCACGGTACTAAAGAAAATAAAAAGAAGATAACATTTTAATTGTCACGGAGTCCAGTCCTATTCAATACTATATACTAAACGTGCACTTAGGGGAGATTAAAAAACCAAGAAAATTAAGCACATACCGATGCTGGAAGTCCCTAACCATGTCTCGACGATCCATTATCGTGGACGATCCGTCAAGCCTTAAATACCTATATTTTCTATAGTTCATATAGTCCTGCCAAACAAGTGACGATGTCAGCAACGAGGGAGAGACAGTTTTATATCTTTTACATCCATAATCAGAAGAGAAACTTATACGGAAATGCTGTCACTCAGTGTTCTACCAAACACTTGAAGCTTTTGTTTTCGATTTAATCTTCAGAAAAAACAATCAACATTATTATTTTGAAGACCACCCCCCCACCCCCAACAACGACAGGAAAAAAAATAAAAATCCCACTCACCCTAAATCACACGACTCAAAAATAATTAAAAAAAGGTGGGAAGAAAGGATTTCAAAGTGAAATAATATAGCCTGGTCCACTAAACCCATTCCCAACAATGAACAATCCATCTTCATTGAGAAACAATCAAGCCTGACTATCTTTCATATGCTCGAGTACAATTTGTTAAAGCCTGATAAGTGAAAATGAATTCACCCTAAATCACACGACACAAAAATAATTAAAAAAAGGTGTGTGAAGAAAGGATTTCAAAGTGAAGTAATAATTTATAGCCTGGTCCACTAAACCAATTCCCAACAATGAACAATTCATCTTCATTGAGAAACAATCAAGCCTATCTTTCATATGCCCGAGTATAATTTGTTAAATCCTGATAAGTGAAAAAATCCATCTTCATTGAGAAACAATCAAGCCTGACTATCTTTCATATGCTCAAGTATAATTTGTCAAATACCTCTAGAATATTCAACATTTTTGTCATTTGTGCAAAGAGAAGAATACGGTGATTTTCTGCACGCAAACGTTTCAGCAGTATATCAAGTGTTTGAAGCTTCCCGGAGTCCTGAAAAAATGCAAAAAAATATCATGTCAAAGAAGCACTTGGTACAAAGAGTCATTGAAATTAGTTTTAAGAATACACAGGCGAACAGCAAACCGTAAGCATCTTTGCTGGGTCAAATGGCTGCATGGGTGGACAAGACCCGAAAATCTTATATGTAAGCTGAAGAGCAGGTTGAGAAACTGGCAATTCAGAGTCAATCTCTTGTATTAATTGGTGGGGGGGCCGTGGCTTCCTAGGGCCATTACAGTCAGATGTTCGCGAAAATCCAATCAACACCCTCTTAAGCCAGGGATGATGCCACTCTTCAATTATCTTGTATGCAAAGTTTCTATCTGAACAGTGGGCATTTATCTAGCAGCCACAAAATTACAAGAAAACATCAGGGCACATGTGCTTATAGTTAATGATCTATAATGAGCATCTTTGGCTAAGCTTAACAGGCTTACTTATAATAAATTTACTTAAAAGTAAAGAAGTATGTTATAGACAAATAAATATTTTAATTAGGTCAAAAGTTGGAAATAAGATAGTTACTTATTTTTGACAATTAGGTAAGAGATACTTTTAAAAAGTTAACTTTTTACTTGTAAGAAAAAACTAAGTATTGAAGACGTGTTTGAACATAAAAAGTTACTTTTCTTTTTATTTAAGCAAAGACAAACATGCACAATGAGAAACAGTATCACTTACCGGAGGTGATCTAGTTCTTGGAATGAAATAGTATACTGAATGCAAAATGTCAAAAGTTGGAAATAAGATAGTTACTTATTGTTGACAATTAGGTAAGAGATACTTTTAAAAAGTTAACTTCTTACTTAAGAGTAAGAAAAAACTAAGTATTAAAGACGTATTTTGAACATAAAAAGTTACTTTTCTTTTTATTTAAGCCAAGACAAACATGCACAATGAGAAACAGTAGCACTTACCGGAGGTGCTCTAGTTCTTGGAATGAAAGAGTATACTGAATGCAAAATGTTGACATTTGATAGTAGCCTATCGTCATGTGGCATTACTAAAGCCTCAAAGGGAGAACCCCCAAAAACCCCTGCGGGTCTCCCTGTATGTAATTTTGACTCTGATTTAGATGGTGATAACAACATTCGTGTGACCGCTCTAACTTTTTCCTTACCAATGTGAGCCAAGTGGATATCATCATCCACATTATCCGTCAACAGGTCCAACATTCCATCTAGAAATTGTCTGTCTAATTTCGTAACTGAGAACAGTAATCTTTCCATTGCAGAACTGGTTGCCAAAAATGATACTTCCCCCGGTGACAAATCAATCAAGCGAGAAAATCCAAAAGTTCCACTTTGTACAAAAGTACCATCCAAAACGCAGTCTTGCTGAAATATGGAATGATAAACGTTTTCTGGAGAGAATATGTTAAAATACTTCTGGAACGATGCACTTCTTATACCTTGCCCTGCTGCTGAGTGTTGTATCTTGGAAACATGGCCTACTTCTTGGTAGACCAATTTGGGTATCTACAACAAAAGAAATGACAGAAAAAATTGAAACAGAAGTGGTTAATGTATTAAGACCGTTGGGAGGAAATCAACATAATCGCCTAAATTATATTCTATAAGAGCTATTTAAATTAGGATCAACACAATTGCTAATTAAGCCATAAAGAGATACAAGTTTTCCAATCATAATGATGTGTTTCTTCGCAGATGTGCACGAAAGTTCTTCACAAAAGAATTATTTCTATCACCTATTTGCTTCAGTGGGGCAAATAACTGCTTTCACGGGATCCTAGACCTACGACATTTTCCTAATCAGATGTACATGCAAAACATTTAAAAAGCGTAACTTTATAATGTGTTAAGATGGTGCTGCCAAATGAATGTTCAACCTAGATTTCAGCTCTGTCTGACTGCAGCATTAGCACCCATTGTTTTTCTACATTGATTAAACAATAGGAGTATTTTTTGCAAGCCAACTCAGATTCTGCCAGATAATTTGATATGTTTCCGATTAATAACACCACCAAAGCAGCTTTCAAATTACCTTGTATGTGATAGGATTTCTACCACCAGAATAGTGTATCTCTTCCAATTCCCCAAAGGGAGGAGGGAGGAGAGAATTTGGAATTTCTCCAAAATAAAAATATGTGCTTCCTTCATTTCTCTCAAATAACTCTGGATGATTGCAAACCTAGGGTACAAAACAAAAGATTTTTAAGAATTGAATTGGAACTCAAATTAAGATTCAGAAAGGATCTAAGAGTATGTTTGGTTGTGTTTAAAAGTTACTTTTCTAGAAAAATGAGTTTTGTTGATAAAAAATTAACTTTGAAAATCATGTTTAAAAAAATAAGTAACTTAAAAGTAAGTATTAAATTTGACTTACTTTTATGCACAGCCAAACATGCTCTTAGCTTTATTATAGTATCTATATCAGCAAAAATAACAAACAAAACCACCAACTCCAATGAAGAACTACCTTCCTCAGCTGGATGACAATGTTCATCAGGTTCAGAATTTTTTTCTCATTAAGATGTCCACGGTTTCCATCAAACAACTCCGCAAGGGATATCTTGTTCTTTATAGCTTGATAAAATGCTTGTTGGCGAGAACTCAACTTACAGTGCACAGTGATCTCAGTTTTCCCAGTCAGCTCAGTGATCACATCCTTTTTGACCCGTCGCAGCATGAACGGCTTCAGAATGGCGTGCTGTATTAAGAAAGAGAGCAGGTAAGCAAGAGAGGGAAGAGAGAAGCAAATGAAAATGAGAATACAGAAAAATAAAAATCCAACACGCCAATCTAATAATTGATAATTAATGGGTAGAGGACTCCCATATGAAGTAGAGCTGAAGTGGGAAAATGATAAACATTAATGTATTAGAAAGAGAATAATGTGCCAAATACGAGATTCAAGTCAATCATCTATAGTCAATTGTGTTAAGCAGTGCTAGTGCATTGCCACAACCTATTCCAGCTTGAGATTAGAGTGGCAACAACAGGAATTACTTGGTGTAGTCAGTTAATCCCTTCTCTAATGCAGAAGTTTGAAATGAAGATTTTAGGGAGGTGTATTCAATTGGGACTTTTGAAGATTTTGATACTTTTTTTAAGTAATGACTTTTGTAGATTTCGTGAATTTTTTAGAGATTTATATGGAATTAGTGGAAGTCTTTTGTAAACTTATAAATTTTCATTTTAAAACTTAAGAGACTTTTGTAGAATTCAAAAGACTTCTAAAGACTTTCATTTGAGATAGAATTTATGTGGATCTAGTGCAATATTGTGAAATTATTAGATGCGAGGTGGTGGTTCTTACAATTCACTCTCCTCCCCTTTCCCCCCATATAATAAAAAAATATTTTAAAAAGAATAAAAATTTAAATCCTTAATTAAGTAAATAATAATTATACATATAAAAAATAAATTTAATATTCAGTATTATTAATATAATATACCCTTAAAGAATAGATAAAAAATTTATATTTAAATTTAATTATAAATTAGTCTATATAAAATTTTATAATTTAATTAAAAATAGATATTTTTCAGAAAAAATAAATGAAAAAAGAAAAAAAAAGTTGTAAAAATACAATTTAATTTTTTCATAGAAAATAGAAATAAACAATAAAAGAGAGAAAGAAAAATAGAAACTAATACAATCAATAGAAAAAATAAATTTTAAGCATAACTCTAATGTTTGTAGAACGGAAAATGAAAGAAATATTGAAAAAAAAAATACATATTAATTTCTTCTTCTTCTTTTTTGTGAAAGTCTCTCAAAATCTTGTGATTAATGAGAGACAAATTTTAAGATTTTATTTGAGTACTTTCTGCTTAAAAGTTAGTACCATTGAGATTTTTATCAAAATCTCTAAAAGTCGTACAAATTTGAATACCCCAAGACTTATAGAGACTTCTAAAAAGTTTTAATTGAATACACTGTGACTTTTAGAGACTTTTTAAAAGTTTATAAAAATCTCAATTGAATACACCAATATTTTTAGGAAGTCTCCAAAAGTCTACATTGAATATCCCTAAACTTTTTAAATCCCAAAAAGTCATTAAAAGTCTCAATTGAATACACACCTCTTAGGCTTTCAATTAGGACTTTCCATTTATTTTTTAGCAGTAAACTGAGATTATTGACATACATTGTTACGTTGCTACAGACATGCACCAGTTTAGTTTTACATTTCCCTATTCAAAAAGGAGGAGGTTCGATGAGTTTAATGATTTCAAACACAGCAAAAAGATGTAATTGTGAGTCCATAAGGAAGACAGAAGATGGGCTCCTCAAATAAAATTGTAAAATATTGAGAATTCAGAATTCAAGTTCCACAGGCATAGTATATTCACTGTGCTCAATGAGATGTGCTCCTTAAATAAAATTATGAAACTAAGTGAATCCATCCAAGTTCCACAATGGAAGGTTATCCATTATGCTCAATGAATTAAAAAATGTAGATGTTGGTACTTACAAGTCGAGTAAGCTGGTGCTCATTCAATGTCCCACCATGCTCTGCATGACCTTCAATTCTGATTGTACAAGGGTAATAAATCATGAGAAAGGCGCCTTTGAATTATGGAGAGATTAACACTTGGGTAGAGAAACATACCCTTTTGAAAACCATTCATTGAATTGTTCATGGCTATCAAATAAGGTCGGCATAATGAAATGCAGGAGTGCCCATAGCTCAGCCATGTTATTTTGAACTGGAGTACCAGTAAGAAGCAAGCGGTTTCGACAATTGAAACTGAGCAGTGTCTTCCATCGAATACTGTCATCTCAACATTCTCTTAGTTTAGATGACTTTATACAAATACTTGCACATGCATATATAATATATAACTTCACGATCAGATGTGAAGTTTTTCAATAGATAGTGGTCTGCTTGGGAGTTTCGGGGTACATGCTATGTGCCTTTTTTAAAGTACCAATTTTGAGCATTTATGAGCGGACCGATTTTGAATGATTTTAGTAAATAACAATCTTGAGAGTTTATATCCACCGGTTTTGAAAAAAAATTAAGAGAATAAAATTACATATATGTCCATCAGTGAAATGTTGAGTTTATAGTTTCTTGTATGAAATTTTTACTCATAAGTGATATTTTACTTATCAGTAATTTTTTTACATACAAGTAAATATTTAACTTTAAAAAATTCAATAAAGTTAAATATTTACTTAGAATTTTAAGTGAGTATTTTTTATTTCTAAGTAAACTTTACAATTATAAGTTAATTTTGTACGTCTAAATAATTTTTAAAATAAGTGATTTTTTACTTATAAATAACTTATTATATTTTATAAGTGAATTTTTGTCTTTTACTTTATAAGCAAATTTTTACAAAAAGGTATTTTTTTTATCTTATAAGTAACAATTTACTTATAAATAATATTTTTAATAATAATGTAATTTTTTGCTTATAAATAATTTTTTAGTTAATATATTTTTATTTACGAATTAGTTTTGAACAAAATATATTGGTTGGAAATAATAATTTTATAAATGGTAAAATTAGAAGAGAATGTGACAAATGGTCAAAACCCGCCGATTAGGTGGGTTAAGCGAACCGGTCAAAATTACAATACACCAATTTCGGGTGGTTTTTGAACCATCCAAAATCGGTGCCCAAAAAAACTAGTAAACACCGATTTCTAACCCCTCATAAACAGTGTCATCCAAAACCAATCAAAATCGGTGGAAAAAAACCCCTAAACAGGCCCTAAAATTAACAGTAGTCATGCAACCAACATAAATAGTTGAGAATAGTTGCTAAAGACTCGGAGTATGAAGTACCTAGATGCCTCATATGCTAAGCATCATAG